GGCCTTCTGTCCCACACACCTATGCGGATCTGGGGTTCTGTTCCAGGCTGAAGAGGATTGTCGGGGTGTGGGCTGGGTAGAGGCTCCCCCAGGGGGACACAGGGTGGCCCGAAGGGGCCAAGGCCTGAGGACCACCCCTCCCAGCCTGGGGAGGGGGCAAAGGCTCTGGACTTCGTCTGCTGGGCCTGGGGCAGGCCCTGCTCACGGCTCTGGCTGCTCCTGCATGGGTCCCCCCAAATGAACGGCTGAATTCTCGTTAGGGGCTACTTTGGGGTGGGCCGGACCAGCTTCCGGAACCTTCCCCGTCTGCCATCTCCTCCTGCAGGGGCCGGCGCTGTAACAGTTGGTCTTACGTGCTGATACCAGCAGCGCAGCCTGGACGGTTCACCGTGGGCAAGGGTGAGATGCACGTGTGGGGAGGGGCGGGGGCTGGCCAGGAAGGACCTGACGCCTGTGCCCCCTCAGGGACTGGGGTGGACAGCGAGGACGTCCAGGTGGTAGACAGCGACTACACCAGCTATGCGCTGCTGCTCTCCCGCAGACGCACGGGCAGCCAGACCGTCCTCAGAGTCAGCCTGCTGGGTGAGCCCCTGCCTTGCCCTGTGGCCTCATGCATGACCCTGCAGGGGGCCGGTGCTCCCCATGCCTGGGGCCAGACCCCGCCTCCCGGCCCCAACTTGGGGTGACTGCGGGGGGCAGCTGCTCACCGGCACACCACCCAGGCCAGGTGTTGAGAGCTGCTCTGTGCTCCTGGCCTCAGGCAGAAACTGGAAGCTCCCTCCCGGGTCGCTGGACAAGTTCGTCTGCCTGGGCAGAGCCCAGGGCCTCTCAGAGGACAACATCGTCTTCCCGGATTTCACTGGTAATGGGCTCACGGGCAGTGGACAATGGGAAGTGGAGATGGGCTGGGGCCTGGTGAAGTGTGGGCGCCTCCTCTCGGCCTCACAGCCCAAGGTCATCCTGTGGTGGGGGGTGGGCACAGCTGAGATGCAGGATCCGTGTGTCCTGGCCAAGTGCCTCCTCACGGAGCTAAGCCTGCGCCAGAACTGGAGGGTCTCATGGCTCCTTGGTCTCTGCCCTCTCCCCAGGCCCCAGGCCACCTCCTCCGCACCCCCGGGTCCCCTGTCCTGGGCCGCCTCCTCCGCACCCCCGGGTCCCCTGTCCTGGGCAGGAGTCCCAGCCTGGCCACTCAGAGAGCCCCAGCCCCCCTGCCGAGGGGCTTCTGGGCTGGGCTCTGTCCCAGACCTCACTGTCCTCATGGAGGGAGCCCTCCTGCCCCAGGAGCATTTCCAGTTGCTTCCTCTGTTCCTTATGTGCATCATGACACTCACACACGTTCGTGTGCACACACGTATGGGCAGGCTCACACACATGCACCCACGTACACATGCACGCTCACGTGTGCACACACCTGCACGTTCACAGCGCCTGGGTCTGCGGTGAGTCTGGGGGCCCATGGGACCGGCAGGGCTGGGCAGGGGCTTCTAGAGCATCCTGGGCTGGTGACAGGGTGGTGCCCTGGGTCCATGTCCCTTAGCCCTTCCCGACCCCCCCAGCCCCTTCCCCTGGAGCCGCTGCTGGTCCCTCCCTCCCCTTTCTGTCCCCTCTCCCGACGCTGCCCACCCGTCCCCGCCTTTGTGTCCCTCCCTTGCCTCCTCCTGGGCTCTGCCCCCATCTCTCTCCTCCGTCCTCCATCCCAACTCTTTCCCACTGATCAGACTGGTCCCTGCGTCCAGGCGCCTGTTGAAGGACGAAGTGGCTCCTGCCTCCGCCAGGCCAGCCTCCTGCCTCTAGCTCCACCCTGCTCTGCTTTCCACATGAATAAACGCTCAGGACCCTGAAGCGTGACCACTGTGACCTTGGGGTGGGAATGGACGCAAGGCAAGGGGGCCCACTGACCCCACAGGGCCATGACAGCTCCTTCTCTGGGCATCCCTGTGACAGTCCCCCAATCCACAGGCAGCAGCTTGCCCCAGTTCTTTCTGGTGTATGCGTGTCAGTGTGTGTGAGTGTGTCCCAGTGTGGGTGAGTGTCTTTGCACATCACTGTGGGATGTTCAAGGTTGTTCCCAGGACTAGGCCCCTCCGTCCCTCCTCCTTGGGCCCCACCTCCACCAGAGCTCCAGGGCTGTCTGGACAGGGGCAGCTGGGCCGGGCCACACCCTCATGCACTCAGCCTGCAGCGTCCAGGGAGTGGCTGGCCAGGCTGGACATGCGAGCTCAGCTGGGGCAGCCAGGGCTCCAGAACATGAGGGAACTGGGGGGCTGGAGACTGGGGGGCTGGGGACAGGCAGCCCCAGGCCTGTCCCCACCAGGTGTAGGGAGACTGTTCAGAAACAAAGTTGCAGAAGGTCCAAGGCCGTGGCTCCTTACCCCCAACCCCAGCCTGAGCACCCCCCCCGACTGTGCACATCTGCAAGGCAGCTTCGCTGTGACGGCCACCCTGCTCGGCGGCAGCAGCAGTCGACTTCTCTGCCCTCCCAGATCTGGCCCATCTCAGCCCCCACCGTGCTCGAGGCAGGGTGGAGCAGGTCACGGCCCAGGGCAGCCATGGAGCTGGCTCCCTGGTCTCCATCCTCACTGGAGAACAAGGAGCAGCCAGAGAGACCCCCCTCGGTGCTTAACCTTCACCCTCCTGGAACAGCCTGCCGCTTAGGAAGGCGGCCCTGGGTGGGGCCTGTCCACAATCCCTCTGAAGGCAGACCTTCCCCGTACCCCTCTGGGTGATGGAGCATGGTCCGCGCACACTTTCCTGGGCAGGTTGTGCAGGAACCAAGCAGATTCTGGGATGGGAGGCTGGGCCAGGGACAGCAGACAGACTGGAAGACCCCCCGATGACCGCAATGAGATTGGCCCCCATTATAGACTCATTAATGACACCTCGTGTGGTACCTGTTGCAGCCACAGGTGACCTTCTGTTGTGTGTATGACTCCCCAACACACAGGCTCCACAAGGGCAGGCCAGGTTGGCTTCCTCCACCGCTCTGTCCCGGATTCCAAGATGGCGCCTTACAGAGAAGGCTGCGAACGCCTATCTGCTGAATGCTTGGGTGCGTGGATGGATGGGTGGGTGGACAGATGGATGGATGGGTGGATGGGTGGGTGGACAGATGGTTGGATGGTTAGATGGTTGGATGAGTGGATGAGTGGATGGATGGATGGATGGATGGGTGGGTGGACGGATGGACAGATGGTGTTCTTTTGTTCGGGAGCTCTTTTGCTCTTGTACCCTGGATGAGGAGGCCCAGGCTAAAGGCAGTGTGTTTTGTTAGGTCTGAGGGTGTATGCAGGAAGTTCTGAACAGTGTGCTGGTGAGGACATAGATCTAGGGGTCAAAAGTCCTGGGTCATGTCCCGGCATCTTGCTGGAGGTGACCCTGGGGAGGCTGGCAGTGAAAGTGCTTCTGCCTTTTGGCAAAGGAACTTGTGGTTGGCTGGTCCTTCCCAAATGTGCCAAGGATGGCCTACTCCACCCTGGGGTGGGCCGGTTACTAGGTGGTTTATACACAGGGGTCCCAGAGCAGTGGCCTCACCTCTCCCCCTTGCCTCTCCTGCTGGCCCCCAGTGTTCCTCGTGGGCAGGGCTCACCTTGCAGCCCTCACCTAATGTCTGGCTGAGGTAGAGGACGGCCCCTGCATGGGGTCCAAGTACAGGACAGCTGAGAAGAGAGGAGGGGCCTGGAGAGGCTCAGCTTGACCCTGCCCCTGACAATGTTAGTGAGACCTCACAGGCCACCTTCTCCCTCTTAACCCTGCACAGCCCTGCTAGGGGAGTCCTCTTCAGTCCCTCTGCACAGATGGGGAAACCGAGTTTCAGGAAGACCGGCTGGCCTCTTGGCAGCCAGCCTCAGGGCATCCTTCCCCCACAGGGCATACAGACACAGGCAGAAAGTAAGATGCCCAAGGTTACCACCACGTGGCGCTGAGCCCCAGGGCCAAGGCTGCACCCTCTACCATCCTGGTGGTATCCCTGTGCAAAGCCCGGGGGAATCCCCTCCCCTCTGTGCCGGCCACTGCTGTGGGGCCAGCACCAGCCTCTGGACAGGGAAGGCAGGAGATGCTGACCAGGGCTGTTTTCCTTCCCAGTTCCCACAGCTGCAGAGCATGGGGAGGGCGGGCTTCAGGCCTGGCTGGATCCAGGGCCCTGCCTGCCCTCTGTCTGCTCCATTGCCCTGGCAGGAGCAGCCCTGCGTTCCTATGAGTCCATTTGGATCCCCCAGATGCATTGTGGAAATGTCTGTCTCCCTCGTCAGGGTCAGGTGGCCCCTCCACGCAGCCCTCTCTGTCTCAGGCTCAGTGACCCCAGCCTCCCCTTGCCCCTTCTTTCCCGGATGATACAGCTCTCTCCAGCCACGAGCCCTGGGGCCTTCCCTGCACTGGAAGGAGCCCAGGATCGCCCTCTTCTCCCCTCACCCACCTCCATGTGCCATCCCTTCCTGCCTGGAGAACCCCTCCCCATGCGAGTCCTCGGGAAGGAGATGGGAAGGGTTGTGAGGGGCCATGCGGAGCTGGCACCAGGCAGGGCAGGTTCAGGATTCTCGACTCAGCGTGAGGGTCAGGCCACTCCAAGCTTGACCTGGTCCAAAGTCAAGAGAGAGCCGTGTAGAGTCAGCACAGCCAGCCCCCCTAACCAGAGTGTTGCCACAGCTGTCCCCTGTGTGACCGTCCACTCCACCTCCAGATCAGCCCAAGCACGCCACTGTCCCTCCAGATCCTCAGGACCATGTTCCCCCTGCCACCAAAGGCCTGTGGGTCCTGGCCTAGCCATCCCTCTTGACCCCCATCCGTGGATCACCCCAAGCAGCTCCCATGGTGGCTGGCACCTACACCAGGCTCTGATGTGTGGACATCATCTCTTGTCCCCACAACATCCCACACAGGGCCCACAGAGAGCGGGGATAGGGCTGCTGCCAGGTGCGTGTCCCAGGATGAGTCAGTGGACCCCGAAGCCCCTTTGTGCCCTTTGACAACCAGAAACCCTGGGACCAAGGAGTTGGGGTCCAGCCAAGCCCAGGACACAGAGGTTGCACTGGGTGCCCAGCTGCTCAGGTCAGCTTCACCTGAGCCTGTCCAGGCATGAAGACCCCTGGGTCACCTGTCTTGGGCCACCTTTGCTCTGACCTAAAGTCAGGAAGACCACCCCTTGAGGTCATGCCCTGCTTGGGCCCCAACCCCACCAGAGCAGGTTCGGCCCCCTTTCTCTCAAATAAGTCCTCCCTGCAGAAGAAAGTGCAGCCAGCATGGGACAGGCAGGGACAGACATGGGTAGGGCCACGGACTGCACCCTCTGCTGGCAGGACTCTGACCCAGGGTTGCCTGCCTGGCCTGGCTGTGGCCATGTCCGTGGCAGGGCATCAGGGTGGCAGAGCTGACCAGCCTGCGGAGAGAAGCCCTCCATGGAGCCTGGGTGGATTGTTCAAAGGAGAGCAGCCCCGCCCCCACCAGGGAGGGACAGCCTGGCCAGGCCTAAGGGCTGGGTGCAGGGTCTCAGGACCCTGTGGGACTGCATGTCTGTATCTGAGCCTGCTGGGGCCTTGACCACCGATGGTGGGGATAAGTCTGGTTGGCCAGAGGCAGCAGGGCCAGGAGGAGCTGCTGAGGGGCCAAGGGAGCCCGGAGAGGGAGGGGACATGGGCTTAGGCCACCATGGGGACAGCCTGTAGGCAGAGAGGCCTGGGCAGGTGCAGAACCGCTGGGAGGGACAGGCCAGCCCCACCCCTCCAGGTGAGGAAGCTGCCCAGCTGGCCAGGCTGAGGGAGGGAGGTTGAAACTTTGTCTCCGCTTCCTCTGTCCAGGCCTGCACCCTCCTGCTTGTACACACGTGCACACGCATGCACACGCATGCTCAGACACACGCACACATGTGTGCACAGACAGACAGACACACACACAGATGCACCACACAGCCTCCGTTCTGTAAATACACTGTCTCTGTTTTTGTTTGACTTTGGAACATCTCTACTGTGAGTGTGTGGGCCTGGGGGGCTAGGAGGTGTCCTGGGGACTTGTGGGCGTCTGGGGACCACCAGTGTGGGATCAAACGTGGAGAAGCCTTGTACACCCATGCTCATAGCAGCCTTGTCCAAACAGCAGGAGAGGGGAGAAACCCAACACGGGGTTGGGAGGAGCAGATCAGGGCACGTGGTCCGTGTCTACCATTGAATATTACTTGGCCAGAAAAGGGAACAAGGCACTGACACGCCACAGAGCGGGTGGCCCCTAAACCTCCTGCTCGGCAGGAGAAGCCAGACAGAGGACCACGTGCTGCACGTTCGCACTTTTGTGAAAGCTCCAGAAAGGGGGATCCAGAGCGGAGGGGAGTGACCACTGGTGGGTAAGGGGTTCCCTTTTGGGGTGATGGAATGTTCTTAAAGGGATGTGCTCAGGGTTGCACAACTCTGAATAGACTAAAAATCACTGAAGTATACATTTTTAAATGGTGACGTAAATTTTGTCTCAATTAAATAAAAGAAGGAGCAGGTCCCGGGGTGCCCGGCGCAGCCACACCAGAACCTGAGGCCTTGTCTCCGCTGGGCTGTGGGGATGACCACCTTTCAGGGCTGCGTCCCTGCCTGGCTGTTCTGGGAGCAAGAGGGAAGGGGATACCCACTTGGGGTGAGGGCATCAGCCCCTAGACAGGGCACTGGCGCCCCCGGCCCGCCTAACAGGCCGCTGCTCCAGGCTGGGTCACGGGTGGGAGCCCCTCACCTTGAAGAGGCCAGGGGCATGGCCTGGATGATGAAAATTCTGTTATGAGCAGGCTGGGAAGAGGAGGTGGCCTAGGACAGGGGACCCGGGTGAGGGCAGGAGGTGGCCCAGGACAGGGGACCCGGGTGAGGAGGGAT